AAAGGCTCTCAGCCAATCAGATTCAAGGACCAGAAAGAACTGTTGAATAAATTCAGTTACGTCATTTACAATGCATTGTAGGATGATTAGCTCAGATCATATGCTTTATTCCGTCAAATTCAAAGTTTGTAATGTTGTGAATCATCTCAGAGCTAGTCGGTTTGGTTAACATCTAAGAACCCTACATTGACGAATCTTTTGAAATCCCTAATGAATGAAAAATGAGAACGTGAATAAAACAAACACTTATGGAACCGTTCAAAAGTATTAGCAAATTCTTGCCTGAGAGCGATGCGTCCTTATTGAAGACATTTTTAAGCAAGGCCTGTATTATGAACTTCCTGTTGCGAGCATGTGTGGTGTTGACTGAGAGGGAGAATGGATGCCCATCTGCTACTACTTTGGCATCAAGATGAAAGTGGGCTCTCGTCTCTGAAGCAAGATTCACTGTCTCCAGTAGTCCCTTGGGCACAGTGGTGAATGATTTAATGAACCATGTTCTTGATTAAGACAAGTTTCTTGAATAAATCAGCATAACAGCTTTGAATGAGACTTTGAAATTGATAAAAGCAAATGTTCCTCTCACTTACCTTGATAAAATAATGGTGGATGTTGTCTATCAGTAGTTCGATTCTGCCTGAATGTTGGTTGTTTAATTCTTCAAGCTGCGCTGTGATAAAAAAAGATGGGAAAATATCCTAAACATTCAAAGAAACAAAGTTATGTAAGTACAGTTGTTTTGTGTTCTAGTTTGAAATCAGCCTTGAAATATTCATTAGGAAATCCATTTTTGAAGTGGTTTTGAAACCTTGAATGTGAATGGTTTTTAGGGGATGTGTTATTTTTAGAATCAGCCTTTTTGGACTGAGATTGACATCCAGGGACACATCTCTGGGGATAATGGATTGCGGTGTGCCAAGAAAGAGAAGCAGAGTGGCTTCCAGTGGCATCCAGGAATTATGCTGTCAAACGTAAGATCCACAAGAAGTACAGAAAGAACAATTTAATGAGGAGTTTATTTTGACCTTCTTAACTTGAATGGACAGATGTCAGATATCTTCCCTACCTGGGGTACAAAAGTATAAGCTGCCTCCATGAGGTACTGGTTGAGACCAGTGTCTAGTTTTTGGAGTCTGAGAGTAAAAAGAACGGGGTCCAGTGGTGGGAAGCCTTTTCCCATCAGTGTCAAAGGATAAATGATATCAGAGCACAACTGCCATCCAACCATCTTAGACCCTGACAAAATAACCATTCAAATATGTCAAATACGCCAAATACACCTTTTATGTCTTTCCACAAAGAAAAATG